ATATGAGGGAATTTTAATACTTAAAAGTATCAAGCTAATCTAGAAGCTACTGTATTACAGTATTGCAGAATTGATTCGGTATCTAGTCAAAGTGTAAAGTAGTTTTGTCTCTTAACAATTTCACAAGRCCTAAATCATCTTATGGCTATGGTGGAAAGTTTGGTGTAGAAAAGGACAGACAAGACAAGGTAAATTTTAATGTTAAACAAATGTAGTGCTAATTAATTATAGTCCTCATTGATTTCATAGTTTATTGCCAACAACGTAATTTCCACCAGCAGATCCCCTTCACTAGTAATGCATGCATGTTGTTTTTGTTGTTCATTGATTTTGCAATTAAGAAATGTGTAGGTGGTATTAATGACAAGCGAAGTAATGAGTCAAGGAATAGACTATTAATATCACTAGTCTATCACAGCAATGCATTCTGGTACTGTCTACTCAGTTCAATAATTCACCAAACAAAAGAACAACAAACCATGACCTCTCGTTAACATCCCAAGAATGCATCGCTCAGAAAGACAAGCAATATAGTCTATTATTGAATGTACAACTTTAAAGATAATGACCTTCAAAATTTAATGCCTTCATCGTGAGTATTATTRCAGGCATTGAGTAAGATAATGAATGAATATGCATGTATGAAAAAAATACATGTAGGAATGATTGAATGGATGGGTGGTTTATTGAAAGGAAGTGGCCAGTACATGATGCTTATGCACTAATGTCTCCCTGTTTAAATGACAGAGTACAGTTGGCTATGACTATGAAGCAAAGCTATCCAAACATAATTCTCAAAAGGGTATGAAGTCTTAATACTATTTAATAATTTGAGATGTTAAATGCACCTGCACAAGAAAAGTCTTGGCATATATTCAGCATGAAAACTAYAGACACAGCCCCCAAGTTTTGTCTATAAACAGGTGGTGTAGGCACACAAGTCATTATGAAATAACAGCAATCAACAATCAAGTAAAAACTGTTCCCACAAGCTTGTAGTAAATCACACTCCTGTTTGGTCCATATTTAAAAAAAATATAACCTGCCTTAGTAATAATTCGGTTTCTGATCTATTAATTGAACAAATCCTCCACGCCCGGCACAAACATGTCACTCACATGTATGTTACAGACAGCTGTGCACCAGGTGATTATTGGTCGTCAATCGACTCACTCTTAACCAATAATCCTTTAACAGTCAGCCAATAAACCTAATTCTTTGTGTTGCAATAATGTTTTCCAATAATTTTATGGGCCACTTGTCATTCCCTTGAGAATAAGATTCTTTATTGAGTTGTATCAATTCCATACAGTATATRTTGCAATAATAATATGTCCTTATTGATATGCAGATTATGCAACTGGGTTTGGTGGAAAATATGGAGTACAGAAAGATAGGGTTGACAAGGTAACAATTTATGCAAAATGTTATTAACAGAAGCCTGTTAAAATTTAATATTTTGTAACAACCACACGATCGCAGTATCAAGTGGCTTGACACACAACTCATAGCTACAGGATACCCTTCCTTTGCTATTGAAACCATTTCAATCCCTAATATTATATAGTTGACCGTTTTAGCTGAAGCTCTGTCTCCTCACTAATATTGAGGTGATCTTTATTTCTGGTGCAACCTCTTGATTTAAARGGGCAGGGTCATGATGTGGCCAGGTTAGGGCAATGGCCTATTGCTGGCAGTATTTGCAAATAAATGACTTTTCTTTGTATTTGAAGTCTGCAGTTGGCTATGATTATGAAGGCAAAACAAAAGCACATGACTCCACAAAAGGTACGTTTAAAATATATGATACTACACAAATCATGCTCTGGAATATGACTTATTTAATATAAAATCCACCCCTCATGACATTTAATAATGAATTTGGTGAATATGCCACATCACTGTGATTCACAATTATAATATACTTTTCATGATGTTCAATAATGTAGAAAGGAATCTACATGCTGGTCTCAACTTTCACATTATATACTGTCATTCTTATTGGTGCAAAGCTGATAACCACTTGGCAGTGCCAATGTGGGCTGAATGACCTCTTGTCCAAACGGAATACCAATTTGTTGGTTAAATAGACTTTTGTCATAGTGTGTTATTATGAGTCAACAATATTTGAATTGTTGGAAAATGATTAATTAAATTTTATCATATTAAGTAAACTTATCTTTTCTTTTATCTTTTATATTAAAATATGCAATTTGTCTTCTAGATTATTCCAAAGGTTTTGGAGGCAAGTTTGGCGTACAGAAAGATCACCAAGATAAGGTAAATCATAATCAGTTTTGGGTAAGAAGATATAACTAGCTAAAAACTAGTGTGAGCTGCGTTGGTGTTTCTAATGAAACAGTAATGATAAAAAGGTAAATTATACTCCTTCGTCGGAGTACTAACGTCCGAAACGTCAGTTTTTTCATCKTTTCATAGTGTATAATTTACCTTTTTATCATTTCAGTTTCGGGTACTTCAGTTTTGAGTACTTCACTGGTCATTTGAACATTTTTAAAACATCTAATGATGACAACATTCTATATTTTTCTTGAGATGTAAAAGACACAGTCGTTCATTATTAAGGCAGGGCTTCTGACAGAATGCTGAGAAAAAGTTCACATTRTGTGGAACGTTTTTCCGCATTATGCAGAAAGAATGTCAAATTATGCAAGGGAAAGCAAGGGATTACTTAATAACAAAACAACAAAAAACGCTTCAGTATTCAAGAAATTATTTACAATTTTGTTCTTTTTTCGTAAATCTACCATTTGTTATCATGTCTAAGAGTTAAATCTTGCATAAATTCTGAACGTTATCTACTGTTAACCACTTTAAAACAACAAGATGGCRTTTAAAATGCTGTGTTGCTTCAAGATTTTGCAAGTAACTTTTTAAAATGTCCTATTTGACCAAAATTGCGGGATTTATGATACATTTTCTTCTTGATCGTTGAATTTTCTTAAGATTTTAAAYGAATGGTGTTTCTTTAATGTCTCTTGTCCCGTCAAGATATTTCGGATCAAAAATATTTTTACATGTAAATCTTAAGGCCTAAAGTGGTKATACCTACAAACGATTTCAATTCATTTTATGTTTCACCCTATCTATAGTCTGCTGCTGGATGGGATTATGAAGGCAAAACAGAGGCTCATGAATCCACTAAAGGTACATTTTCTTAATCCAATGCTTTATCAAATGAGGCATTCTGGTGATGTACTCTTTCATGTTTAAATCCTTTACAGATCATTCCAAGGGATTTGGGGGCAAGTATGGTGTACAGAAAGATAGAGTGGACAAGGTAATTTTACTTTTTATTTACATATTATGAGGAAAAAACTAAATACAGTATTAAAAAAAAGAATTTTTTTACACATTTTGAGGGGRAAAAACAACACTTATCAATGCCCTGAAACAGCCTCTTGGCTGATCAAATTCAGGACGTGGCTAACGTGCAGATATTATTGGGATTTAGCTTGTTAAATTTTGTGGAGGGAGGAAAACTAGATATTAATCCAAAGAAAAAGCCTTGAATCAATCACGTGATACTGACATCCCTAAGACCACTAACCCTCCTTTCCCAAATCACAACATAATGATTACACTTTGACCCATAGGTCTGACTAAAAGTACGTTCGCTTTGATTCAGTAGCCCTTTTTACATGAGCTAAATGAGTTATCTTTTGTATTTTATTATTACAAACTCGTCTGATAATCTAAAATAACATAGAAGAAATAGAAAACACGTGAAGGTGCTGTGTTTAGTTATAAAGCACGCGCAGTGCTTCTCAACACTTCTCGAGTGTTCTGCCAATACCCAAGTGCTTTATTACTCCACACAGCACAACAAGCAATTTGTTTATTTCTTTTATAAAATGCGATTAGAGTAACCGTTATTCTGGATAGGAATGACGAAATAGAAAGTGTGCGCATATTCTGTGTGCTCTCATAAAGCACGATCTCCCATCCAATCAGAACGCGAGATTCATAACTGTTATTTCATAAGCATCTCTTTTTCCAAATTATTTTCTCAAACTTGTTTGGTTATCTTGAACAGTCTGCTGAGGGCTTTGAATACCAAGGCAAAACAGAAGCACATGAATCCACTAAAGGTACGATCAAACAATTTGAAATGGATATTCCATGTAACAGCTTTTCTTATTAGGAAAACTTTCTATCTCTTAACAGATTTTTCAAAAGGTTTTGGAGGGAAATATGGTGTTCAGAAAGACAGAGTTGATAAGGTATGTCAATTGCCGGACTCAAATAACGTTAATTATTATTGAGGGGGGGGGGGGGATGCATGTTTGAGTTGCAGTAACAACTTGGCAATAATTTCGTTGTAGTCTGCTGTAGGATGGGAGTATGAAGGCAAGACAGAGGCTCATGATTCAACCAAAGGTAGCACCATTACTACCCAATCTATCATACATTCTTCTTACTAACCGCTTCTTTCTTATTAAAGATTTTTCAAAAGGATTCGGAGGAAAGTTTGGTGTACAAAAAGACAGAGTTGACAAGGTAATTACTGTGTCCATTGAGTTTTTGTTACAGTTATTAAGTGGCTAACACAAGTGAAGATTGGTAATGTGCACTCTTCTTTTTGCCTCTAGGGTTTTAATAGTCCCTTTTATACTTTGATAAATATCGCTGTCTTTGAAGTCCACCGACTCATTTGGTTTCTTTGTAGCTATAGAACAGGACTTTTTTTCATTTTCACTCAAATCTTTACTATTTGTACATCTTTACTCACCCATTATTGAAGGGTGCTTTCCATTAAGTCGAACCAGTCGGTCCGAGGGGCCAGAACTGGACAGTCGCGGGCAAAACTGGCACGTACCGTTTGAAAACTGGCCACCCCGACCAATCAGTTAAACTTAATGGCCCGAAATGCTCATTTTTAATAAACTTCTAACCTCTTTTTTTAATTTTTTATCTTGTAGTCTGCTGTGGGATGGGAATATGAAGGAAAAACAGATGCGCATGAGTCACAGAAAGGTAAATTGTTTTACTTTAGAAGGTAAATGATAATGTTAAAAACTGCGGATTGTTGAATGTGACATGCGTGATGATTCCAAAAACGGCTTGATAGCACTTCTTGCAGCAAGACCAGTCGGTGACTTGGATTGAGGTTTTAGAAATAAGTATTAAGTTTTTAAAGTAAAAGAGGAATAAGAAATGTAATTTTTGTTGGTGATGGTGTTAGTGGTTCTGGTGGTAGTTTTTTTATGTCTCGCGTTTCGTGCCTATAGACCCTTTCCAAATATGTGCGATTATTCACACACCCATCTAATACGTTACAGTTTTGGCGCGTAATCACAGGAAAAAACCACACGCATTGTGCTGAAGGCTGATCATACCGGCCCCCATAAAGCATTATGGGCTATTGGAAAGTAGTTCGCGATTTGGATTATCATTTTCTTACCAAAGGAGAGATCATGAATGAATTACTAAATGTCCACAATTTCAGTATTGTTCATTGGTCGTAAAGGAAAGATATACAAGCATTTAAGATATTCGAAAAACATGAAAACGAGCCTGGTCGTGTGTTGGTCGTGTGTAGTTTCTAATGCAAGTACTTGTAATTTCAAAACGCTGTAACTTTTCAGGTATACTTGTTAGAACGCTGAATTTTTCCTCCACTTCTAATGTTGGCATTCCATTTGAAATGCTAAGTAATCCTTGTCCATGGGTCTATAAGGAAGGTTATGCTTCAGGCGACTAATCTTAACTTGTAAATAATATTCCCATCGTTTAAATGCTACAGATTACGCTAAGGGGTTCGGTGGCAAGTATGGAGTCCAAAAGGATCGTATGGACAAGGTAGGAAAAGAATATRATAGTTTATTCTGTACCAGGTCAATATAACAAAGTACGCGGTGATTGAAACACTTTCGAAATTAACCAGTCTCACCTTTGGGGTCTCAGGTTTGATATCTAGACTTGACATCATATGTAAAAAGAGTTTGTTAGGTCTCTTTGAATTCAATCTGTTAGTTAGTCGTGTCATGCATGCGAGCGGGTTGTTTCAGGGTCAGTATTGATGATATTTGAAGGTTGTTTGTCCCCGGTTGTCAACAGAGCTTTTTTATCCTTCCTTTCCGTGCAGACTGACAGTTTGTATTTGCCAGTGCTGTATTTTTCGTTTTTTAATTGCTTTCTTGCCGTCGTTCTTGCTTTACCGCATGTCTCACTGCTTTTTCGTTTCGCTTTTATAAAAACTGAAGCAGAAGACAAAACGTTTGAATTGCCTTATCTGATGTGTTCTACCGTCAGGTTTCTTTGTCTTACAGTATTTTCCCTGTACAGCAGGCATTTGTCAATGAACCAATTTAATAATGACGTCGCTACCAAAAGGAAACCTTTTTTCAATTTTTGTAAAAATTCAAATTTGAATTTCAAAAAATTAATATACAAACCAACACTATTATTTTTAATGGTATCATTTGTCAAAGGTTCATATCGTTTCGATTTTTTCCATCAACTGTGCAACAGATCATTTTACAACAACTTCTTATTTCTCGCGCGCTGATTGGTWATTTTTTATCATCAATAAGAGGACACACAGATAAAGCTGACGTCAACGAGCGCGCGCTCTTTCCGTTGAATGTTTTGATCGCTAAAAATGAGAAGTTTTTATCGTTTTTGTTATTGTAAAAAAYAAATTGACATCAGATTTTTATGTGTCTGTCCTCTTATTGATAATAAATTTCGCCATCACATTGTCAAAGYAGTATGCGGATCCACACTACTTTGACAATGTGATGACGCAATTTATTGTCAATAAGAGGACAGACACATAAAAATCTGATGTCAATTTGTTAATTTGCATCTTTTGTTAGTCACTCATTTTAGTTAGTGTAATGTGCTGCATTTCTTTTTTTATGRAAAGTCTGCTGGTGGTTATGAAGACATGCAAGAAGTCAAATCAGAGTACCACACAGCCAAACCTCGTACAGGTATGGTGTATGGATTATACTCGTACTAAACAAGTACCTCTAGTCAATGTACATAGGATGCCATAATGAGTGATGTGTGCAGTTATAAAGTACGCGGAGATTAACAGATCATTAGAAGCACGACGCTTAAGATCCTAACACTTCTCTTGTGTTGTGCCAATAACCGCACAGAGCACACGCGTGGCGTATTCAGTTTGTTTCTTCAACACAACACAATTATAAGTAATTCTCGAGAAATCAGAGCGCACGCGCTTCGGATGTATGAGTTTAGGCTTACTTATAGTAAACTAGGAACTCTAGTCAATGCAAAATGTTATCAATAATATGTACAGGGTCTGACGGTATGTGTCGCCTAGTTTTCCTTCATCCCATCTGATTTTCGTACATAATTGTCTAATTTCAGAYTCTGGTTCAGCTGGAAATCTGAGAGCAAGGTTCGAGAACATGGCGAAGCAAGAAGAAGAGGTTTGTTTTTTTAGTCTTTAGTTTCTATATTATCGGTTTTTAAAAGACACCAATGCACCAGGCAACCTTCGGTGAGTGGTGAAAAAWTATAAAACTCGCACTCTTAAAAAATCTAACGAGTTTGATTTAAAATGGTTGAATCTGATCTGTGTTTATTTAGCGTCAAGAAAATATGTACTTTCATGAACATTAGATGAGTAGTTTTAGTGAATGAAAATAAAAACAATCCATTTACCAGGATAACAGARTATAGGGGTTAGCATGTCTATTGTTTAAACAAGGTATTCCTCGTCCTTCTAATTGTTCCAATATTTGATCTGTAGGAGGCAAGACGCAAAGCAGAAGAAGAAAAAGAACGGCGTAGAGCCAAAGAAGAACGTGAAAAAGAAGCCTCCAAGAAAAGACAGGAAAGGGTCAGTGGAACACTAACAGCTTAGTAGACATTCCTTTTCAGCAAATGCTCGAAAAAAAATACATTTTTAAAAACTTTATTCAATTTTTATATTTTTGAAATAACCCTAAAAAGATGAAACTTGCATGTATGAAGCAGTTCAAATATCATTAAATTGAAGAAAGAGAAGCATCGGGGTTAGGAGGAGGGGATTACAAGCAAGTGACATTACCTATGATATGTGCATAGATGTATTACTTAATAACCTTTTTCCTTTGTACTTTTTGGAACAGGAAGCAGCTAGGGAAAAGGAAGAAAATGAGGAGGAGGAAAGGCGTAGAGAAGAAGAGGAAGCCCAACGTGAAGCAGACGAAGCTGAGAGGGAAGCAGAAGAAGCCCGAAGGAGAGAAGCTGAAGAAGCAGAAAGACAAGAACAAGAAAGGAGATATGCTGAAGAAGACGCTGAAGCCTTGTATGACACTGCTTCACCAGCAAAACCCGAAAACCAAGAGGATGAGCCCCAGGCTGAGGTAAAATGAATATTTAACATTTAGATTGACTAGCTACGAGAATAGCAACAGTTCGAATAGCCTGCGTCACAGCGGAATTTTCTTCGTAAGAAAACCAAACCAACCCAACTTCTTAGGCACAGAACAAGCTCATGGGCGTAATACTGGCTCTTTCTGATATGGAGAAAGTTTTTGTCCCTAGTCCTTTATTTCTGTGCAATCTCCAGTCGCACAAAGTTTATCTTGATGTGCGGGAAGTTGTGGTTTTCCTTTTTTATAACGAAAATACTTAAGGTGGCTCAATGGGGGTTTTCTCGGCGCCCTACCATGTAACTACAAATCGCAAATACGCGCTCGCAAACAATTTATTGGGGATAAAAAGTTTAAAGATTTTAAGGGAAAGACGAAATTTTCGAATGAGAATGTTTTTACTGAAGTCGGAATTAATAAAATACTGCTGTTAAGTGTTGGCGCGTTTGCTTTATTACTCATTTTCTCCATTTTTTGACCTAAATTGCGCTTGACATCTTTGAGGATGAGTACTTAGCTCAAGATTTAGAAAATTTGAAGAAAATCTGCTAGAGCGTTTTTCAGAAATCTGGCATGACGTTGAAGTTTTGACRCATAGGAATTTTGCAAAAACGAATTACAACGCGGTAATAAAGATGACAACTTTGGACGTGCAACAACTTTGCAACAACGCTGAGTTTTGAATCATTTTACTAACCGAGTTTCGTTCCACTTCACTGGTTTGGATATAAAAGACGACTCTTTTTCAAGAATCGAATATAATCAATAATGGAGAGATCGAGGACTTCAGAACTGTTAGCGAAAAGTAAATAACCATTTAAACGCATTTCTATACAAAATTAGGCCGCTTATTGGTATTTGAATATTATTTATTTCGTYAGACGTGACGATTCTTTAGGCCAAGATGCTTGTAATTTGTGTAATTCAAGATAGAGAGTATAATTATTAAAACTAGTCACGTCAGTAACCGTTTTCTAGAGACTAATTGAGTCCCATTCCACTTCACTGGTTTGGATGTTAAAAAATACTTTAAGTGCACATAAGAAGGAGAAAAGGGTATTTTTAACTTTTTATTTAATTCAGACGAGCTGAAACTAATATGGTCGGACATAAAAATACATTTAACATGTTTCAAAGCACACCCTCCCACGAAATAGAGGTACATAACAAAGATTAGGTGTTAAATAAGCTCAAGCATACCCACACATTAGGCAACCCAATGCACGTTCCAAGAGCGTCTGGTTGCGATTTGAAGTTGGATGGTAGCGCGCCGAGAAAACGCCATGCATCGAGCCACCTTAAAAGAGTGAAAAACAACTAGTCACTTAATACTGGCAGATTTTTTTGTTAATGAAAAGCTGTGAAAACCAAGAAAGCAAAATCACTCATGCTAACCAGTATGTTTGTCGTATTTCAGGTTTCCTCTGGTGACTATGGTGTTGTTGCTACTGCTCTCTACGATTACGAAGCCAGTAAGACAATAGTTGGCCTCAGTTGTGCAGCCTTTATTTAACTCTGGTCAAAACAGTCTGAGAATCAGAGCAAGATTCCTTAATTCTAGTCCCCTGCATAGTCAGTTGCACGTTTATACACACCTATTTCAGAAATCATTGTCGCACCAAAAGCCTCAAGCAACAAGCCAAGACCGCAGAGGATGCCGGTACTTTTAGCTGTAATTAGTTTATTCATGGTGCATTTTCATTTATTGACTTTGCTCCAAGCAAGGCTGCTTGAGTTGATAATTAGTGGAGAGCTATAGCCACTTGCATGAACCTTGAATAAATCAATTATAATTAAAAGTACCGACGTTTTCAGGAGCCTTCGCTTGTTACTTGACGCTCCTGGTGCGACAACGATTTTCGAAATAGGTGTATACAGTCAGTTCAAAGAACGTTGTCGACCGGCTCAAGATTACGCAACTGAACCGAAATGAATACAGTGGCGGATCCAGGGGYCGTTCCATGGAACCGCTTTTTCTGAGATCTTGTGAAGCATGTTCTTTACGCTGGCAGTAGAATGAATGGAACACCCCTTATGTGAAGCCAAGCTTACCAGGTTTTTCTGCCTGGCGGCCATTTTGGAATCCAAAATTTTAAATTCCTGGATCCGCCACTGGAATGCGAGTAAAAACCCCTGAATTAACGATTAAATATTCATTCTTGAGCTGATCTTAATCAGAGTTAAAGTTGGGCAGCACGCAGGGTAGACAATAGATCATTTAATAATAATCCTTATAAAAGTGAAGGGCAGATATTCCTTTATCTTTAGATATTATTAGATATTGATTTCTTATATATTATATATTATTATAATAATATATTTTTTAGATATTATAACAATCACTAATTTGGAAATATTTATTAACATTCTTCAAATATCCGTCTTCGAGATTAACTGGAGACATTCCACGATACTAATCAACAATTAGACTACGAGTTTTCTATGAGTCAATAGATAGTCGATGAGGCGCGTAGCGCCTAATCGACTATTTGACTCATAGAAAACGAGAACGAGTAGTCTAATTGTTTTAGTATAAACCTACTAGCTAATATTATAGTATTGAAAACAAAAAATGACACTGAAAACTTTACCGTACAAAGCGATGGTCAACCGGCAGCACTGTTTTCATTCATATTTTCGAACTCGTTTCGAAGTATTAACGTAAAGCTTAAACTTGCTCTATTTTTTATAGCTTTTTGTCTCTATTATTACTGTCAAAATTTTCTTTCCGATGTTTTTTATCTTATCAGTTCTTTGGATCATTTTTCTTGTTGATGAGTGATAAACTGAAATAATTTATTTACAAATACTTTGTTGTCAGACCATTCAAAGCCGTGCCATGTTTACAATTTTTCAATTTACAAGATTCTTGTCAGTTAACTTGCACTTTCTTTATTGTTTCGCCTGTTCTTACCGTTTAAAATTCTTCTTGAATACATGTGAATAAGTTGTCTTTTGGATTTTTTCTGTTCTTTGAGGGAATTCTTTTARAATACCATCATTATCTCAGCAGTCAGTTGTTTGTCCGTCGTAAAGTTTGCACATGAAAATCTCAGCGAAATCTGACGGCCGCTTTTTCGTGTTAGAATTGCTGTAATTCTTCAGTTTTTTACTTATCTGTACCGTTCAAAACCTCCATTYCTTTCCTTGATAAAGTATTGTCTTTCCTACAATCAATTTTTAAAGATTTTTTAGAGAACAAGCAGAGATTTCGTCGAAACTTGACCATGCACTTGTTTGTTTTTCGCTACTCGCTATCTATCACTAGATAGATAGTGAGTACGTTAGCCAATCAGATTGCAGGATTCGTGATAGTATGCTAGTAGGTTTATGCTAAAAGCAATTAGTTGACTCATGTTTCCTGAAACAACCTCACAATTATGGTGTAACAACCTCCCATGATTTGGCCATTTTTTTGTTTATCCATTGAGTTAAAAGAACTCCMAAGGAAAGGTAAACAGTCATACAGATAATTTTTCCCGCATATGTTAGGATTTACCGAACTAGTGCAATATTATGATGTTAATAATTCTTCTAAATAATGTTTGATATTTTCAGCTGGTGAAGACGAAATCACTTTCGACCCCGGTGACATCATCACTAACATCGAAGTGATTGATGAGGGATGGTGGAGTGGTACATGCAATGGTCAGTCTGGCCTGTTTCCCGCCAATTACGTTGAGGTGAATGAGTAACAGCCGAACACTTTTAGTACATGCACGGCATTTTTACCGMCGCAAGTCCATGTCAGTATACAGAAGAGGATTTGGAAGAAGCAATCCATAACTATTTGATTATCAATTAAATATGCTTTTYTAAGAAAAATAAATAATGCGCTGTTTGAAAAACTCTTTAAGCAATTAATAGTCAAGAGATTGTAACTGGATAGCAAAAAAATGATTATATACGTATATTTTTTCTGCTTATTTTTTATTCAATTGACAACTATTAGCCATTTTAATATTCCTCGTCCTTCCTCTGAAAGGTAACTAAGGGGAAAAACCACAAGTATTTTGCTGAAGATTAATTAGACGATTTTGTAAATTATGCACATTATATGCATGATATTTGAAGCTGTATGACAAGTCAATACAGTAAATCTCTTGATGTTCTTATAATGCRCTCATAAGCAATATAAAGAAGCAGCATGATATGATCTCGTTTAGTTTTCTCACTGATTATTACCAATAAATCAAAACATCATGGAGTGATTRTGAAAAAGGCGAATGTGCAAAACCTTTTCTTGGTGATGTCTTTATTAATTTTTTTTTTTTAATACGCTGTCGACAATTTAACAGTTTGTATTAAGGACACTAAGCTGAATTTATTCGTTACGGGGTTTTCTGCGAAAGGTATATTATGCATAAAAACGAAGTGATAGGTAAGTCTAATCATTTTTTTCTATTTTATTTTTCCTGTATGAAGCATAATTCATCGCTTAATGATAAATAGTCGTTTAAAATGCAGCTGAAGCCCAAGTATACTATGAAGATGCAAAATAAATAATTTTATGCAGTAGTTTCTATATTACTAAATGACTTAACTAGATACTGAGGATATTGATAAAACAATCACGTTGCGTGCATAAGACTGATTCACACTAAGCAAACATAAAGCAAGATACGCAGACTCAGTTGTGTCAGTATTGCTTATTAACAAGGTGATAAATGCGATAACGAGTCTGCGTATGTTGCTTACAATTCCGATTCCGACTCTAGTGATAACCAGGCTTAAATGCCTACCAAACCTAARGATTGTTTTCTTAAATGTTTAGCTCGAAAGGAAAATGAACTAGTTTTCGGCTGTTATGATTATCCTTTTTCGCCTGCGTCTTACATAATTTGGTTTGCCGACCCGTGCTACCCCACGCAAAACACGGACAAGAACCAGTTATGACCAGGGGCGTAGCAAGGATTTTCGAAGGGGGAGGGGGCGCCATTTTGTTTCCGCACACGAAAAGCCAAACCAAAAAAAAGAAGGAAATTGGCCTTGTGTTTTTCTCTTTACGAAAATAAAAATATAAAAACCGGCGTTACATTTGACGTTTTATTTTTACAATAAAATATTGAAATTACCGTATAGAATCTGAAAAGCCGTCACTTTTCATGCTACGAAGGAGGAGAGGGGGCCCCCTGGCTACGCCCTTACGTTAAACAACCCTTGATTCCTTCAATATCCGGGTGAAAATAATATGTTTTAAAGAAAGAATCTCTTACGAAGTGCTACTAACGTCAGCACCTTTTCGATTCATTTCCGTCTATGGAACCAAACATACCATGCCCTCTATTTGTTTTGTTTCATATTGATTGATTGATTGGTCTTTTTTCCCTTAAAATTAAAAAAACCATCAACGGAGTATTTTGTATTGTGATGGTACTGATATACTTAAATTGAGAAGACGTCATTAATTTAATGCGTTAAATATATCCCAAATAATTTAGGGAAAGAAGAATATTCACATAAATTGCTCGGTGKCAGATGGATGTTTTTGCAAAATGGTCTCTCGTTTCTATCAATTCCGTTCTTTGCTTGACAGCCACAGTTACAAACCTTCTAGTCATCTTGATCATCYTTCGAACACCAAGACTGCATACTCCTTCAAATGTCTTGCTTTGCTCTTTGGCTTTGTCCGACATCGGCGTAGGACTCGTGGTTCAGCCTATGTTTGTAGTTATTTTGGCCGAAGTGCACAGGCTAGAGCAATTTATGGAGTTTGCCAGCATGTTTCTGATCGGCGTGTCTTTTCTGACCCTGACGRCCATTGCAGTGGATCGTTACTTGGCGCTGGTACTACACCTGAGGTACAAAACAGTCGTCRCTGTCAGGCGTGTCTCTTTGGCAATCTCATTTCTCTGGTCGTTGATTCTCTTGGCTAACATTCTACGCTACATTCTTGACTTTAAAACCAGAAACATTGTGATGGTTTCAGTAATATGTGTTTGCTTGATCACATCGACATATTGCTATTTTCAAATCCACCGTATTGTCCGACGACATCAAAGGCAAATCAAGGACCAAAGCCGATCCTTGCCATCAGCTTCTGCCCCTGTAGTGAAACAAGGAAAGGTCGTTAAAACCATGTATTATATCCATGGTTTGTTCGTCATATGTGTTCTACCGTACCCAATCAGCCTTGGCATGTTCATAAGCTTGGGATCTCGACCAGATACCGTTGTATTCATTTGTAGCGCCTTAACCATTCTTTTTGCAAATTCTTCCCTGAATCCATATTTGTTTTGCTGGCGGATGAGAGACATAAGGCAAGCATTGAAGCAGCTCCTTAAACGACATTTAAATAATGACTGAGATGCAAAAGTACATTAAACAAATAACTAATACCAGTAGAGTAGATCTGTATCGATTGATAATATTTCCTATAAGTATCCAATAAAGAACATGTAACTATTAGTTGACTGGCACTACTAGCTGTTGAAATGTAGATATATAGACATGCAACRATAAATAAATGAAAAATGGTACCAGTGGAAGGAAAAGACTCTTTAATTAACCCATAAATCAGTTGACTTGCAATAAGTCGTATACACGTATACACGTTCTATTCTGAACAGTCAGTGGAAAGACTTCAGTGGAAATTTATCTCATCCAYCTATCCACTTCCATTTATTTGTAACTTTCTTAATGTTCAGTCATTCGTAATTTCAATATAAATTTAGGCACTGCCTCTCCAGTGGACTGGCTTCCTGTGTTGTTTTAGCTTGCAGTACGAATTTCAAAAATAGTGTTGAAACCAAAGGTCTATTTCGAATTGTTTTTATAGATTTCTCAGGATTTGAAACTCTTAGAATTTTAAAGCAATAGTGGTGTTCTTACTGTAATGAAATACACATTGATGTATCTTATAATTAATGAGCGAACATCTCTTTGCTACCAAATTCTGCCCTCATACGAAGGGTAACCGTGGTCCAGAAGAGGTGCTGAGTTTTTGTTGTTTTTGTTAAGCTCAGTTCACAACCAATGTTTATTTTTGACATTTTGTGAATTGGTCTAGAAATTATCAGGTTAGCTATAAGTGTGATAAAAAGCACTACTTTTTGAAGTTTTGGAGTGCACGTAATGATTATCACTATACTTTTTGTCGAACATTGGGAACTACTGCATGCTATATGGATTTTGGCAGAATTTTCCTCATCAAAACTCCTAGCTAGATTATGGTAGCTATACTAGTTTTAAATGGTAATACCACGGACCGCTCGTCCTATTATCCCAACAACATCCAATGACCGTGACAAAGGAAATTATTGTTTAGCATTCGAATAAATATGTCTRTTGTTCTTGTGAAATTGAACTGAATGWAGGCTTATATTTTTCGGAAACTTTTGTCGGTTCGTTGACTAGAAAAAAATCGTGTGAAAAAATATAGGTGAACCCGTTGCTCTTTCAAACCCAGGACTTTCGACCCAGGACTTCAGCCCGGGACTTTCAACCTTCAATGATTTACATTCTGCTACATTAATAATAAGTTTAATAATAACGGCAAGTTCTTATATAGCGCTATTTCCATTACTTTCCAATAGCACTTTAAAATTATTATTATTATTATTAAGGCTGTGGCGCTGTGGCGTTATTCAGTGGCTAAATGGCCAGCAGCAAGAAAAGGTATTCACTACAAATACTAAATGGCTGCTAGTCAAACTTGTTTGTCTTCACAGTTTTGGACGTCAAAGTTTTTTTWAAAACCCGACATATTGCTATGAAGATCATAGCTAAGCTCCTGGTACGTATGTATACGTCCCTGACACACACCGCAGGGATATGTTTAAAATATTCCTATATATTCCTAATTTTTTAATAGATAATTTATTTTCATTTTGAATAAAACATAAAAAGGAATAGATGGTAAACCAAATATTTGCCATTTATTGAGTTTTTCCAGCTAGTATAATTATATAAATTGAGCTTATATTTGTGTTCTTGTAAGAGCTTTTATTTGTCTTCCACTTTAATATAAGCTACACAATTATTCAAAAACATTTACGAAGGCCAATTGCTGACAAAGAAGATTCACATGTTGCATCTGTTCTTGTGAAGCTTTGTTGAATGTAAACGTCATGTTTCGATAACGTTTGTTGTTCGACGTGATTTCCGTATTTTTTTCGCCAATGAACTACAGATTAAAACTGGTAAAATCGAAGCTCAAAATGTATTAAGCTTAAGCTTAGTTCTCGAAGAATAGTTAAGGCTTATATCGTGATAACAGGAGGAAAAATTAATGAAGAATAAGATTAAGAAAATTAGTTTTTTAACTGACACATTTGGGTTTCGTTGTTCAACCGCGGGGCAATCTCCAGCTAATCTCCTTCTGGTCACGCTACCAAAGCATTTCTTTGCTATTTTCATTACGGCTAAAATACGGTTCATATAATAAAAGCATAAAACTCTTTATGTGAAAAACCAAACAACGTTATGCAAAAGCAGTAGAAGTAARCTTATAAGTCTTATTTTGCTCACCACTGTTTTTACCAGCTTCCAAGTCTGTTTAGAGCTGTTCTGTCCTGAAAAAACTCGGGAATCTCCAAAATTTGGATTGGAATGAAAGAAATCCTAGGTAAATTTTAATAAACCTGATATTGTATGGAATTATCTGTAGTTACCTTTCGTTTTTCAAGTAAAATTAACCAGTAATTCAAAACGTGATTTAAATGTCGGCCATGGAAAACTTTGTGGAAGAGTTCCAAGAACAAAACTAGCCCCTGAGGGGCTGGTGGTGCGCTTTGTAGCGGTGACAAAATTCTTAAGCGGATAAAAAACAGCAATTAAAAATCTTTTTTTTTACCTTTCAGTTTTATCTAAATTAGGCTCCCTGTGCCTATAACGTTAGGAGCTCCGCTTTTAGGCAGTGCYTAAATTTCTATACCATCGTTTTTAGTTCATAGTGTTCGGCTCGGTATAAATAATAATAATGAGGGTGACTTTACAGGTGATAAAGGCGCATTCATGGCTTCYTCTTCATATGAAAACTTCCAAGCCTCATAAAGGTCAGTCTCGCCTACAGTCACGTACTGACTGTTTTGAAATTGATATGCTATATTCAACTTGATGGAGTCTTTTTGAGCTATGAATGCGCATATTACTGATGAATATACACCTCTATCGAGCTGTAGATCCATGCAGATGACGTGTATGGTTTGCAATGTAAATCAGTATGTTATGAAAGAAGTGGACTTTTTTGGGCTTGTGGCCATGGAAACACTAATACCTTAATAGCTCACAGAGGGATACAAGTCATTTATATAAACCTGGGCACTTAGAGTGCAATATACTAAATAAGCTGTTAGAATTTATTTGTATGCAATAGCAAGATTATGTTTTACAATAACTGACAAACTTCTCGCGCGCTGATTGGTTAATTTTTATCATCAATAAGAGGACAGACAGATAAAGCTGACGTCAACGAGCGCGCGCTCTTTCCGTTAGTTGTTTTGATCAGTAAAAATGAGAAGTTTTTATCGTTTTTGTTGTTGTAAAAAACAAATTGACATCAGATTTTTATGTGTCTGTCCTCTTATTGACGATAAATTGCGTCATCACCTTGTCAAAGTAGTGTGGATTCACGAGGCGTAGCCGAGTGGATCCGCATACTACTTTGACAAGGTGATGACGCAATTTATTGTCAATAAGAGGACAGACACATAAAAATCTGATGTCAATTTGTTAACTTGATTTATCATAATTATAAACTAATTATATGATAAACATTTGAACCTTTAAAGACCGTGCAATACACACCTGACTGCCTAGAATAAAATACCTAGCAATTTGTGCAAATTAAAAAAAGAAGTTTAAGTTAATATTATACGTAAAAAACGTAAAACATGTTTCTTAAGAGAAGATAGTTWTGTTGACTGAGACAGACTAGATTATACTCAGAACTTTTCAGACTCAGTCTTTATATAATGCTGCTATCTATAATAAGCTTTTCTAAACAACTGAAGGATTTCAAGTGCAGGATTTCTAAGAATGTCATGACCAGTGGATTAYCTTGATTGACTAGCCATGTTTTGTCGGTTCAGCTATTCAAAGCAGTATTCTCTGTAATCAATGATCACAAATGATGACGATGATGCACAGGCAACCCAGGCTCWCTACATTTATAAGAGAATGTATGGGGATTTAGAATACGACGTATTTTATTTRGAAAAACGCGAATAAAAGTTTGTTGACTTACCTGTTGTGTCAATTTGTTTTATTTTGAGGTAGGAAGCTGCCGASCCGAATCATGCGCCGTAATCTGTTGACCCCGCGGCCCCCTCCCCGAGTGGTGAAATTTTGTATGGTTTTCAGTCCTTGGCCGTGAAAGGTGGGAGATCAGCCRTCCTCACGGATTCGCAGGCGTTCGTTGGAGTAACTTTTTAAAGTTTAAGGGAGGACTGCAAGCTCGTAACTACAGCTAGATCCAATTGAAGCACACAGATTTATTGGTAAACTATTCCTTCGTGTTTATGTGAAGCCAATCCCTCATCGTATTCGTAATTACTGAGAAAAACGGTTCGAAGTGGACACCAGTGACATCGAATTCGGATCGGCAGCTTCCTACCTTGTCATTATTTCTAAGTGTTAGAATGTTTTCTTAAATACCCTTCAAAACTAGCTGAAACTGCATGCAGGAGTTCAAAATAAACAAATTGACACAACAGGTAAGTCAAAAAACTTTTATTCACGTTTTTCCAAATAAAATACGGCATATTCTAAATCCCCATACATTCTCTTATAAATGTAGTGAGCTTGGGTTGCCTGTGGATGATGATGATGATGATGATGATGATAATAATAATAATATAATAATAATAATAATAATGCTTTAAAGCGCTAATAAAGCACTAGAGTACTAGAATGATACTATAATATTATACTATAATACTATGAAAAAGAAATTAGTTTGGAAAAAAATCTGAATTTGAATATCMTAAAATATGCAAAAAATCGGACTGGAATTCAAGATTTTTGGTTATTTTGATTGGTTGTAGCATAAGTGAGTTTCACTTTACATTATTTGTTTTAATACTGTCTTTAAAAACTTTAGCAACTTATTTTCACTTCTCCTTTATATTATTCTCAGACTCAGGCAAACTATCCAGCCCCGCCGGGCAGGTATCCCAGTGTGCTATACCTTGCCATTAAGCCACTAGGGTCTGGTTTGCAATACTATTATTGTTTGACAGGTCGATACTCTTCATTGAATCGARTTGTTATGATAATTTATGGAATAGTGATGTTCATCGCTGAACGCATCGCAGATCTTTGTAGTTTCATATACGAAGAGAATGGTTCAGTACATAGAACACTAACTAGTATATTCGAAATTCTTCAATCATGACAAACGCTCTCTGCTAATAGATTAACCAGTCTTTTAAGGTAGGTTTTAAAAAATCATTATGTTAATAAATTAACAATATTGGGCCAAATATCAGTAAATGTTTGTGTAAGGCAAAAGTATATATTATTCTTCCTGTACACGTACAATGCTTCATCATTCGGCATTACTTAAATGTTGACGTTTTCACTTTGGACTAAGACTTATGAGATGTTAATTATTTAGGGAACTAAAAATCATTACAGATTAGGTTCAATCTTAATCTGTTAAGTTTCGCAAATCATAATTAACTCCCCCCWGTACTCGAATCAGAAATTCATATACATCTAAATTGTAGACATTCTTCGCAGATCGATGCATTCTATTCCTAAAAAATCCGCGACAAGACAACAAAGCAGATCATATTTATGATATTTTTTAAAATCTATTTCATAAACGTAACGTCATAGTAAAATTTATATGAATCAGTATCCAATAAAGAGTGAGATATACCTTAGTCTGAATAAGCAGCTAATTGAAACCAGTGAGTGGATCGTGTATGTATGTTCAGGTATCATCCCTAGTTATTACACATTCAGTCAGGCTGCATGGGAAAAGGCAAAATATAATTTAATATAATATATAAATGAATGCAAGGTGGAAGGTTTGTTTAGCTACGTTAAAGTGGGTTTTATCAGATATTCGTGTTGGGAATGTTTTGTTGATGTTGAACATTATTTCATGTATCATTCATATATTATGTATGGTTTATGATTTTGTCGTAGTTCTTATTATTAGTCTTGCGATCATTCAGAAGAATGTGTTTTGTAGTCCACGTTAATTTTCATCATTATCATTACAAAATTCATGTTATTCTCGTACAAACTAACTTAAACTGYATGCGAAGCGGCGTTTTGGGGAAGGGGGTTGGGACGAGGAAGGGAAGGGGACTGGGGAGGAGAGCGTTAGTATATATCTAGTCAGTATATCTATACAGTCAATGTCATTAACKTTGTCCACCGAAAAAAGACATTTACACATGAACACAGTTAAACATTTACACATCTACACATTTAGACTAAAAGATATATCACGTGTTTCATTATGTATTCTTTGCGTCGTGTGCGTCAGCCTGAACTTTAAATGTAAAATTCAACTCGTAAATCGAAAATCCAGAATGCCGCCTGACCTTTTAGTGAGGATTTAAGATGGAGAATGGTATTTCAGCATTTGTTTTATGCCAGAACCTTCGAGAAAACACGTGATATTTCTTTTAGTCTAAATGTCTAACTGTGTAAATGTCTTTTTTTTTTTCTTGGTGGACAACGTTAATGACATTGACTATATATCTAGTGCAGATAACGAGTACTGGTAACCATGGGAACAGTTTGTATAAAACAAAAAAGGTCACTGGAATTTGACGAAGAAGACTATGGCTATGGTCAGTTAGTAAGGTCAGTATGATATACGCTTGATGAATTAGTCAAGGTTGAGGAAAAGCGGGGTCGAGCTGGTATTGCAGTGAATTATGGGGCTGTTTTAGAGACATATTTTCAAGATGGCGTATACTAGTCGTCCCCTAATACCGTCCCAAAATGCACAGCAAATCCAACTCTTTTTTCAGTTTTTCCTCAACCTTTGAATGGCTAAGTGATTTGTACTGTGTTTCAAGGGGATTTCACAATAACTTCCATTAGAATTTGRATATGTTAAGGATCTGGCTACAGTCAATGACACCTAATTATTCATTCCCTTTTACAATCTGGTCATGTAAGATCCGCRTGAATCATGTCTTGGAACAAATTTGTGCAAAGACAGAATTGGCTTACTAGTATCCCAGAATGTATTGTGAGTGAAATATTAATTTGTTTTCATTTTAAACATCTAAAATTGCTAATTCAAAATTGAAATTGAAATTGTTCTTTAGTAATGTGCATGCCATACCAWCGATATCTATTTCTAAATTCTTGAAGGTATTTAAAATACTGGTCAAAATACTGATATACTTTTTGAGTAATTTCAGGTTCAACACAAATCTTAAAACTGGATACCTTAGTATTTGCCAAATGTCTTTATGAAATGCTAAAGCAACAACCATAGTATTAGTAATATTAGTGGTAGAAGTATTGTTTCAAAAAGATGCACATAACTTAA